TGGGAGTGTCTTGGCAACGTTTCGACGAAGTCCCATTCGTCATCTTCAGGCTGGTGTTTTCAGCTTCGTGCTTTGAGGATTATTATATATTATATATATATATAATTTCAAAGCTTTCCTTGTCAAAAACTTCCTGGATTTTGATTGCAGAAGAGATAAATTGCCATACTTCCTGTTGGATTGCTTTTTTAAGAAACCAAGGGATTTTTGTATCTAGAAACACATTCAATCATGTGATCACATGATCCATGGAAGCAAATCCAGAATTATAAATCTATTCTAGAAAGATTCATCCCTGTAATCTTGATATACTAGATTTTATTTGGTTAGTCAAGGCCGACATTGTGTACATGAACACACATTGAAAACCTATGTTAACACCCCAATCTCTATAGTTTTAGCTTTATCATGCAAACAATCTACCTGCAATGAAGTAAAAATATGACCTTCCTGGTATTTCTTATCTTACTACAAATAGATGCTTGCATGTGGTTTGCAAATTAATCCTCACTACCGATGTTTCAGTAACTATTTATAGATGACTGAATATATCAATCCAACGATCAAGTTCCATGAGTGGTATTTTCTTTGTGTCATTTAACAGTGCCATATACTTATAGTTGTTTTAGCCATAAAACCACATCCTAGTGGCTTTGTTTCAAAATCCCTCCAAACTAAAATTGCACTTTAAAACCAATGTTCATATAGGTTTAAAGGCAAGCATTATGTTAGCAAATCTGCAAGTTAGTTCTAAGTAGGACTGTTTTCACAGCACCACAGATTCTCTGGGGTGGCAGTGGGGGGAAATAATGGTGCTTTCTATTCTAAGAAAATAGCCATAAGCTGAAAAAAAGAACTTTGATGTCTTCTTTCTCTCCCATTCTCTCCTAATCACAAGGGTAGCTAATGATTGCCCATGGCTTCTTTGCTAGGATAAATGCAAATGTAAAACTGGGGTTTCTGCAAAGACAGATGGCACTTACTGCTTCCATTAAGCTTCCAGCATTCAAACTGTCTAAGTTCAAGTTCCAATGGTGCACTCAGCTGAGTTAGGTGTAAAATTCAGAGCCCTTCAGCCAAGCGAGGGTCACAAAATAGAAAGTAGCAAAGGTAGAAGAAGCAAAAGAGACTCAGCATTTGGAGAAACCCAAGATAATAAGGACAAATTAAACCCAAACAAGGCTGACATGCATAGTGATTTATCCTCTTTGAAATCTATAAGCAGTATTAATGTCCTTGACAATATGTTTCAAAAATAACAGAATAATAGAGTTGGAAGGGACCTTGAAGTCTTCTAGTTCAACCCACTGCTCAAGCAGGAGACCCTATTCCATTTCAGGCAAGTGGTTGTCCAATTACCGTAAATGCCGGCGTATAAGATGACTTCCGCGAGCGCTGAAATCGGGGCCAAAGACGGGGGTCGTCTTATACGCCGAGTCGTCTTATACGCCGGAAATACTGGTAGTTTCCGGCGTATAAGACGACGTTCTAGGAATGCGGCCCGGCTATAAAGACGGGGGTCGTCTTATACGCCGGGTCGCCTTGTACGCCGGCATTTACGGTACTCTTTCTAGAGTAATAAATAGGATCATCTATGGTAGAAACTCTAGGATCCAAAACTGAACTGTTATTAGAAGACGCTTTTAATAATGGCTTAAACATCTCTAGTGATGGAGGCCCTACAACTTCTGAAGGTGAGCTATTCCACTGTCAAGAATTTTCTCCTTATTTCTAGGTTGGTTCTCTCCTTGATTAGTTTCCATCCATTGCTTCTTGTCCTGCCTTCTTTGGAGAATAGATTGACCCCCATTTTCTTTGTGGCAGCCCCTTAAATATTGGAACACTACTATCATGTCAGCCGTACAGTGCCTTTCATTAAACTCAACATACCCAATCCCTGACACCATCCTTCATGTGTTTCAGTTCCCTTATCTGTGTTGCTCTTCTCTGCACTTTTTCTAGAGTAATAAATAGGATCATCTCTGGTGGAAACTCTAGGATTCAAAACTGAACTGTTACTACAAGGCGCTTTCAATAATGGCTGCAAACTCCACCTTAATATTTTATATAAAGTACTTGTATATTTATATCACTCTATATTTCTTTTTTGATCTTTGCTAGAAAAGGATGATAGTACCTCTGCAACATCAACTAATGATCCACAAAACTAAGAAGGATTGAACTTGATTAGTACATGGATGGGATATCCTGAGACCTGTATTCGAGACTGCTAAATTGAAGAATCATTCTGGAAGAAAGCAGTGGCAAGTCACCTCCTTACTATTGTCTAATAAGTCCTTAGAAGTTGAATTTTACTAATGGTCTTTGGCTCCAAGGGGGTTCTCAAAGTAGCTTCAACTATATGACACTCTACAGAAATTGAGTGTCAGTAGGTGAGAATTTAAATGGACTCCAGAAGATGGTACAGGACAGGAAGACCTGGAGGAACGTTGTCCATGGGGTCGCTATGGGTCGGACACGACTTCGCAATTAACAACAACAACAACAGAAATTGAATTTGCTATTGGAGCACATGACATGTTGTCATAACTCATAAGATGCTATTGTATTCATTTTTGAAGAGAGTAGGGCCCATAAACTTTCAAACTTCAGACAGGTATATGTCCAAACAAGCTATCATTGAGCTTTGAAAATCCTAAACCAGTGGTGGCGAACCTATGGCATGCGTGCCAGAGGCAGCACTCGGAGCCCTCTCTGTGGGCACACATGCCGTTGCCCCAGCCTCACCTCCCCCCGTGACCCCCTCCTCTCCAGCAGCCCCCTTGGAGGAGAGTTGCCCCGAGTGTGGCCCATGCAGAGCAGCGCAGCCAAGGACATGGCAGCCAGGCAGCGTAGACAAGACTCTGCCCTCACACTCCATTGCGCACAGTTGATGCTGTGGGATGCGGGCAAATGGAGTGGCCGCCATGGCATTGCTGGGCTGACTGGGCGATCTGTGGCGGGCCCTGGAGGAGGTGAGTGGCCCTGCGGGCAGGCGGGACAAGGGATGGAGCAGGGACGGGGCCAGTTTTTGGGCACTCAGTCTCTAAAAGGTTCGCCATCACTGTCCTAAACTATAACTGGCCAGAATCCATAATCAGCATCTTAAATTGTGCCCCCAATGAACTGAAACCTCACAGACATTGATCTGTTTTCAGTATTTTGTAATACTAGTATACATTTCAATTGTACGGTCTTCAATATTTTTCAGTAATCAAACATGGCAAGCCAAATTATTTCTGGATAGCATGAGTCATATTCACTGACTGGGGGGGGGGCTGGAGTAGGTGGGTATAAAAATATAAAATGCTTCATCAGATCCAAAATATGCATTGTACACTAAGACCTGGCTTTAGGAACCCCTGATTTAGATTGATGCTGCAAATCACTTCTTTCAGGAGGTAAATGATGACTACAGTGGCACTCAAATATAACCTTACAGTAGTTCCACTGTTTACATGCATAGGGCTATGTAATAGTAATAGTAGTAAAGTTGGAAGGGACCTTGGAGGTCATCTAGTCCAACCCCCTGCTCAGGCAGGAAACCCTACACCATTTCGGACAAATGGCTGTCCAGTCTCTTCTTAAAACCTTCCAGTGTTGGAGCATTTACTGCTTCTGGAGGCAGGCTGTTCCACTGATTAATTGTTCTCACTGTCAGGAAGTTTCTCCTTAGTTCGAGGTTGCTTCTCTCCTTGATGAGTTTCCACCCGTTGCTTCTTGTCCTGCCTTCAGGTGCTTTGGAAAATAGCTTAATTCCCTCTTCTTTATGGCAGCCCCTGAGATATTGGAATACTGCTATCATGTCCCCCCTTGTCCTTCTCTTCGTTAAACTAGACATACCCAATTCTAGCAACCGTTCCTTATATGTTTTAGCCTCCAGTCCCTAATCATCTTTGTTGCTCTTCTCTGTACTCTTTCTAGAGTCTCAACATCTTTTTTATATCGTGGTGACCAAAACTGGATGCAGTATTCCAAGTGTGGCCTTACCAAGGCATTGAAGAGTGGTATTAATACTTCACGTGATCTTGATTCTATCCTCTGTTAATGCAGCCTAGCACTGTGTTGGCCTTTTTGGCAGCTGCAGCACACTGCTGGCTCATATTTAGGTGATTGTCTACTAGGACTCCGAGGTCCCTCTCACAGTTACTACTATTGAGCATGGTGCCACCTATGCTGTACTGGTGCATTTGGTTTTTCTTGCCTAAATGTAGAACCTTGCTTTTTTCACCATTGAATTTCATTTTGTTAGTTAGTGCCCAGTGTTCAAGTCTGTCCAGATCCTTCTGTATCTTAACAGACTTGAACACTGGGCACTAACTAACAAAATGAAATTCAATGGTGAAAAAAAATCAATCATTCCAAATCTCACTTTCCCTCTCTGATCTAGCTTTCAAAATGCAGCTTTCTCTGATTGACAGCAGGTGTTTTCTGCCCCCACCTTTATAAAATAACAGCTTTAAGAAAGGAGCGTTTTTGGGGAGACGACTGTCGTGACTGTCTTTATCTAGACTTGATCTGCCATTTATTACCTTTGACTTCCACCTCCTCTCCTGATTTAACACCTACGTTTTCATATATTCCCAGCCTTCTCTGAAAGAGGTGGCTTAAGTATTCTCTGTCTCCCATCCACCCCCATCCCTGCCTCCTTTGGGCAAAAGCTTTTCCATCCAGAAATTGCAAGGGATCGGGAGGGAGAGGGGGAGGAAAGCTACCTGAGGCTGGGGGCCATGAAAAGATGCAGTTGGGGTGTATCAAAAAACAAAGCCAACGGCCCACTTCCCTCCTGCCTTCCTCCCCCTCCCCCTCCCTAACAGAGGCAGCCCAGCCAGCATTGCAACAGAGGCTGCAGAGCTGTTTGATTGCTTAAGCCTGGTGGTCACACAATAGGACCAGAAAGAATGTCTGTTTCCTTCCTTCCTGTTGAGTGTTCTGCCCGAGTGAACAAACTCAATAGCCCTTCACTTCATAGCAACATTGCGCTCTAGCACAGGCAAAAACCAACAAAGAGGCATTCTAGGGCAGTTCCAACTGTACCTAAGACGAGCCGCTGAGCTATGGTATCATCCGGCCAGGGGGAGGACAACAGCCACAAAGGCAGACAAGGCTAAGGGGAGGTGACAGCGACACAAAGGCACCGTAAACATCCAGGTTATTGTGCTTTTTTTTTGCTTTCCTTTTTTTTTAATGTCGCATGGGTGGCTTTGCTTTCTTCCCTCCCCATCCCACCACTCACATTTGGAGATCTGAAAAGAGAATGCACCTATTTTTTTTTCTTTTAAATGCAACACTTTGGTACAATTAGTCCTTTCTTAGAAAGAAAAAAGGAAAGAAAGAAAGAGAGAGAGAGAGAGAGAGAGAGAGAGAGAGAGAGAGAGAGAGAGAAAGGAAGAAAGGAAGGAAGGAAGGAAGGTTTGATTTTTTTGCTTCTTTTGCACATTACTAGTTTCAGGGAAGATTAAGGCCTTAATCCTCGCCCACATGAAGCTATTTTAAGTCCACTTGTCTTTTATGGAAAAAAAAACTTCAGAGGTTTTTAGATTGTAGTTTTGTACAGACCTACCTGGGAATAAGTGTCACAAAACACAATAGCAGCTATTCAAACTTCCATGTTAGACAATCAGCTGTCAATCACTTCTTTTGAAATTAATCAGAATTCATAAGATTTGTTGGGTTGACATTTAAATGCTAAAAAGGACTGCCTGAACCTAGGGCTTTTGGTGGTCTCTCTCTTCCTCTTTCTTCTCCTCTCATTGTCAACTTTGAAAAGACTATATGTAGGTATGGCTACAAATAATAGGAATTTCCTTTCCTTTCCCAGTTGTTGCTAACCACAGTCTGCCATGATATCAAAGTTGTAAATTTAAGGTTGGCTAAATAATTTATATATAGTTGTATAAGTCTGCGTTCAGAGTGATGTGGTGGCATAGTGGTGAAGACGCTTACCTTGTGCTTGCAAAGGTTGAGAGTTTAATCCTAGGTAGTGGCAGACATTTCTCCAGCATGATTGGATGGAGAATCCACGGACAGATGGGTTGTCTTAATCTATCTGCTCCAATCAGACTAAGTCTGAATCAGAGTCCCGCCCCTGCTGTGCCATTTGCACCCCAGTTTAGACTTAGTCTCTTTCCTTTCTCTCTCCTGGGATGCTGTGAACTCTACATGGCATCAGGAAGGGCATTCGGCCAGCAAACACTTAGTTCCATCCAGTCTCCCTGATTCTATCCCAAATTAAAGGATTATGGGGTCATAAAAAAGAAGCTTTTTAAAATATAAGTCTGAGTTCACCCAAGACAGTAAGGCAGTGTTTCTCAACCTTTTTAATGCCGTGACCCCCAACTGGTTGTAAGTCGAGGACTACTCAACTGGTGCAGCATTGTTTGCAGAATGGGACTTTTGGCGGGCCCAGCAGAGCAGAGACAGCCTGGACAATTCCTATTGACTTTTGAAAGCCAATAGAATTAGACTCTATTCAAGAGAGTCTATTCTATTGGCTTTCAAAAGCCAATAGAATAAAAGGGAGTAGCACAGCTAAGGAAAAGGGGAAAAAAATGGTGGACTGTGTTGTTTGGCGACCCCCGTGAAATGGTCGTTCGACCCCAAATGGGGTCCCAACCCACAGATTGAGAACCACTGCACTAAGGCAAAATCAAATAAAAACACTTTATGGCTTAATAAGCTTTTGTTGGTCCCACTTAACTTTTTGCAGGCCTTTCTTTCTCATTGAACGTCCAGAATGGAGTTCCCCGCACCTTTTTTGGATGGAACCTTGTAGGATAGGCAAGGTGGGTTGTATGACGTGTATGAGTCCTGGCACCTTTTTGGTTTTTTTTGTTTTTTTAGAAAAAAAAGCACTGACTTTTTGGAAAGGCCAGAAGATTGCAATGGACTTTGTGATCATGCAAAAGACTATGCTAAATTATGGAAGGAAACGAAGAAACATGAATATAAACTGGGAAAAATTGAAAGTATCATTATTTGGTAGTATATCAGTGATAAAAATAAATTTACTACTAAGAGTAGTGACTAAAGTTATACAGAAAAATGATGGACAGATGGACATAATATACTTGGACTTCAGATTTGTGACATTTGACAAAGTAGACCACAACCTACTTCTTGGTAACACAGAACAATGTAGGACAGACAGTACCACCGCCAGATGGATTTACAATTGGCTGACCAACCACATTCAGCATGTGGTCATCAATAGAACTAAATCTACATGGAAGGGAACATGCAGTGGGATACCTCAAAAGTCAAACTGGAACTAAGGAGGAATGTGAAACAGTGAGAATAATTAATCAATGGAACAGCTTGGAGTTGTGGGTGCTCCATCGCTGGAGGTTTTCAAGAAAAACTGGACAACGGTTTGTCTGGTAATGTATAAGGACTCTCCTTGGCTGGGGTGGGGGTGGGGGGAGGAGTAGGACTAGAAAATTTCCAAAGTCCCTTACCATTCTTTGATTCTACGATTCCAAGTAAGGTGGCAACTTCTCTTTCTCCACTATGGGGATCAAACTTCTCCATTTCACAAGCAGCTGATATCTGGAACAGTTTCCATTATGGAAATATATATAGTCTCTAGAGGAAAAGGAACAGCAGCCTTCAATTCCTCTATCTCTTTCACTTACCATCAGCATTTTGAAAGCTCACAAACTCTTGTCAGGCAGGGCTTAACCATATAAAAGCCATTAAAAAAAAGCCTATGTTAGTTTTGGGTAAAGAAAAAACGTTCACTGACTGTTTCTGCCTGTTTAATGGATGTTCCAAATATCTAGATACTATCTCATTTTCAAAGGCTTGACATTAGAGGAAATAACTCCTCTGGTTTTTTAACAAGATTTTTCTCCCCTGCAACATAATAAAATTCAGTACAGTTCATAAAACACAATTACATTAAAACCTGAAAGTATTGTGCAAAGAGCATATAAAAATCACTTGGACGTTTGAATGACTTGCTATAAACGTGATCTAAAACAAGTCAGATAGTACTCTATCTTCACGGATAATGCTTTTCTGTTCACATATTCAACTGCTCATCAAATGCCATTCATGCATGATAGAACTAGGTCCCTCTGCACCAGGGAATATCACTTAGACATGAATCTGTGCTATTCAGAAACAGAAACTGGGCAGTGTAGCCTTGCTCATATAGGCATTGTATTGTGGCTACAAATTCCTTAACAACCAACATAGTTTGGAACTAGAGATCTATTGTTCCTTTCTAGGAAGCTGAGTCTTTGACATTTAATTTGCAGATAATCAAAGGGATTTAAATGTTTACTTCCCCTCTCACAAATCAAACTTTTCTCCTTTCTGTTAACAGAGAATGCTGTTTATGAAGTTTGAAAGCTCACACCCTCTCAAAAGGTAAGTCATGATGTTGCTGCTACAGAGATATGGGATCTGGTCTTTCTCTGGGACTGATGCCTAATTCAAGAAGATCTGGAAATAATCTGTAAATGTTTGGAATGAGTTTACTGGAACTCAGTCAACTTCTCATTTATTCCTCCTCACTTCCAGTGAAATAATTGGAAATGACACTGTATTGGTATTTATAATTTGACTTCTCCTTCTAGTGTGGAAGGATATTTCCCACAAGGCAATATATTAACATTTTTTTAAAAAAAAAAAACTAGGAATAAACTCTTCCATAGCTGTATATTCTGTAATCCCACTGGAGTCTCTATTAATATCAAAAAGAAGGTAAAGGTTTTCCCTGTCCAGTTGTGTTCGACTCTAAGGGATGGTGCTTATCTCCATTTTCTAGCTAAGGCAATTAGCATTGTCCAAAGATGCTTCCATGATCATGTGACCAGCATGCCTCTAAGCCAAGGTGCACGGAACGCTGTTTCCGCCATACCGTAGTTGTTGAGTCCGTGGCGGGAAGCAGACATGAGAAGCAGTTGAAGTTCTCAGTTTTCTTTATTCTGCGTTCAGCTTACAAGTAGATGGCTTCTTCAGCTCCCAAAACCTCCCAACTTCTTATATAGACATTTCCCGGGTAAATGCGATACTTTTCCCGCGCCAGCACCCGCGCATGCGCACGGCGCTGGCGACAGCCTGTCTGGTCCCGGGCAGCTTTGCACCTGCCCGGGACTGCCTGCAAACGCCCGAGCCGTTTGCAAGGCTCGGGACATAACACCCCTTTCCCCCGGGCTAAAACTACTACCAACATATAATCATTTATTTTATGCAGTGTTCTGCTTCTCAGTGCTCCTATCGTTACCTGGCTTTTGTTTAGCCAGCAATGTTATGTAATCCTCTAAGTATTTAGGAGACTTCTTTGCTCTCTGTGACCTTCTCAGCTCTGGGTTACTAGCATGAGTTCCCTGACTGGAGGGAGATGTGAGCCTGTTCTCCTTATTTTGCCTTGGTGCCTTCCAAGGACTGTGCCCCGCTGCCTGGCCTGCTTGCTCGCCCACCGGGCTCGTCAGGCCAGGGCTTCTGTCACTTTGTGACCTGGTTGACCTGCCTAGCTGTAGACCCTCGGGCCCCTTGAAGTGATAGCCACTGCTGGGCGTCTCTGTTGAACCTCCTAGGTCCGTCCAAGACCTGTCAGGAGGCTGTCCATTCCCTGAACCCCGTTCTGTGTCCGGGCTTGTGTGGGTTTCTGTACTTTCCCAAAACTCAGTTACTCCCTGATTTGGGCTAGAGGTGTTGTAGTCGGGACTTGGTTCCTCGACCACCTCCCTGTATGTTTGACCCCCTGTAGGATTTGGGGTAAGGTCAGGCCAACCTTGGGAATTGTGTGCCAGCTCTCTTGCGGGGAATGATTTGTTGGGATGCCCCCGGGTATCCTCCGTGACTGGAGTGCTGTGTGATGTGTGTGGAAAGTGAGTATGCCCCCGGGGTGACTCCCTGGCTGGAGTAGGCGTGGATGCCTGGTAGTTAGGTAGGCTCATAGAATTCTTGTTCGGAGCTTCGCGGAACCCTGGGATGGGCCGTTTGTGGCTCCATCAGTGGAGATGGGCAGCAGCTCGTGCCCTTCCCTTTGCTCCAAAGGGTCCCCCTCCCCCCCTGGAAAAGACCCAGGAGTCTCATCTGAAAAGTCCCGCCTAGGGCGGAGTTGGTCGATGTGCCGACGCAGGACACGACCGTTGTCCAGGGCAACCTCGTAGGAGAGAGGACCTGTGACCTGGAAATAGAAGCGGGGACCCATGTATGACCAGGCCCGTAATTGCGAGCCCAAACCGGGGCACCCACAAGTAGTTGTCTAGGTGCCCTAGGATGTGAGGTAGATGAAGGCAGTCTGTCCGGATGCAACCGGTCAAGTTTAGTAGTAAGTTGACGCCCCCAACGAAGTTCAGCTGGGCTTCTCCCTGTAGAAGTGGACGGTGTGGTGCGATAAGAAAGGAGAAAGTCAGTCAACCTGTGATGCCAGTCCCCGTAGGTGAGTCTTTTCAATGCGTCCTTTGTGATGCGCACCATACGTTCAGCCATACCGTTGGTGGACGGGTGGAAGGGTGCAGACGTGGCATGACGAATCATGTTTGCCTGTAAGAAAGCTTGGAATTCGGAGGAAGTGAATTGAGGGCCGTTGTCGGACACAATGACATCTGGCAGCCCGTGTGCAGCAAAAATCCCCCTCAGTACCTGAATAGTCTTTGCAGTGGTGGTGGATGAGACAGGTACAACCTCAAGCCATGGCTGTCAACAAGGACCAAGAAGAACTGGCCCTGAAAAGGCCCAGCGTAGTCAATGTGCACCCTAGACCATGGGGACTGCGTTTCCTCCCATCTATGCATGGGAGCTTGGGGCATCTCTGGGCGAGATCGTTGGCACAGGTGGCATGCATGCACCTTAGCCTCAATATCTTTATCTAAACCAGGCCACCACAAGTGGCTGCGCGCAAGGGCCTTCATACGAACAATGCCAGGATGACCCTCGTGGAGGGATTCTAAGACCCTAGTCCTCATTGAGGTGGGAATGACAACTCTGTTTCCCCAAAGCAGACAACCCTGAGAAAGGGACAGCTCGTTCCTTTTGGACCAGAAACTCTGAAACTCAGGACTAGGGCAGTGCTCAGGCCAACCGGACAAAACCCAGGAACGGACACGTGAAAGTGTGTGATCTGTACCTGATTCAGCGGCAACATCCCTGGCACTAAGAGGGAGCTCGGGCAAGGCTTGGATTGATAGAATGTTGACAGCTGGTGCAGGGTCAGCTTCTACTACTGGCAGAGGCAATCTACTGAGGCCATCAGCATGGCCCATTTCTTTTCCAGGCTTGTGGAGTAAGGAAAAATCATATGCAGACAAAAAAATAGACCACCTAAGCATTCTAGGGGAAATGATTTGGGGAGTCTGCTTACGTGTGGTAAACAGTCCCAGCAGAGGCTTATGGTCAGTGAAGACCGTGAAGTGCCTGCCATATAGAAAGTCATGGAATTTTTTAATTCCAGCAACAACAGCCAGAGCCTCCCTGTCTATCTGAGCGTAGTTGCGCTCAGCAGAAGACAATGTTCTGGAGTAATATGCAACAGGAACCTGAGTTCCATCAGACCTGAGGTGGCTCAGGACAGCTCCAACCCCGTAAGGGGACGCATCACAAACGATGCACACAGGAAGAGACTCGTTGAAATGTGCAAGTACACTGTTAGAAGTGAGCAAAGCCTTGACTTTGTTAAAACAACCCTCATGCGTTTGTGACCACTGCCACACTGCTTGCTTGTCTAGTAGCCTGTGAAGAGGCTCAGCTACACTAGCTTTTTGTGGAAGAAAAGAATTGTAGAAATTCAGGAGGCCCAGGAAGGCCTGAAGTTCGGCCTTGGACTTTGGCCTAGGTGCTTCTAAAATAGCAGTCAGTTTGGATTCAGCAGGGTGAATCCCAGCAGCATCAATTTTGAACCCCAGAAATTCAGTAGAAGGCACCCCAATCTTGCATTTGTCTTTTTTGAGCTTGAGGCCTGATTTCCTGAATCTTAATAGAACAGCTCTTAGCCTTTCAGCTAGAATGTGTGTGGAGTCTCCTGCAATGAAGACATCATCAAAGTAGGGGCAAACCCCCGGTATGCCCCGTAGTGTGTTTTCCATTACGCTTTGGAAAATCCCAGGAGCGACATTCACTCCAAACTGCAGCCTTTTTACCTTAAAGGCTCCCCTGTGGGTCACAATAGTCTGAGCTATAGCAGCATCATCATCAACAGGCAGCTGTTGATACGCTTGAGCTAGGTCAAGCTTTGCAAAAACGCGCCCCCCCTTGAGGGAGGCCAGAATATGACTGACCACAGGAACAGGATAGGCATGTTGCTGCAATGCCTTATTCAGAGTGCATTTGTAGTCAGCACAAATGCGAATGTCCCCATTTGCCTTTAGAGGCGTGACAATGGGGGTCTCCCAAGGGCTGGAATCAACAGGTTCTAGGATTCCCTGTTGGATCAGTTTGTCTAACTCAGTGTCAATTTTACTCTTTAAAGCAAAAGGGACCCTTCTTGCTTTAATTCTAATGGGAGTGACAGTGGGGTCTAGCTTTAAGGACACAGGGGGTCCTTTGAATGTGCCCAGCTGGGGGCTGAAAACATCTGCAAATTCTTTGCAGACTTCCTGTAGGTCGAGTGTTTGTAAACTGTTGAGTCCTGTGACGTGTATCCCCAGGGCCTCAAACCAATCGAGTCCTATGAGACTCGTTCGTTCACCCCCTACTACTAATAAGTCTAGTGGACCTTCAAAACTCTTGTATTGCACGTTAAGGGTGGCCTCCCCCTTAACACACACTCTTGAATTTTGAAAATCTGTTAACACAATGTCAGAAGGCCTTAACTTGGCCTGAGTTCCACTACCGGAACAAATCTTCCTAAATGTATGCAAGGAGATAATTGAAAAGGCAGACCCTGTGTCTAGTTCCATAGATAATGGAACCCCTTGTAGCTTCACCTTGAGTGACAGCTTTTTCTTAATGGGCTTGTGTGTGCCTGTCCTAAGGATGCTTCTTCGCGAAGCGCAAAACCCTACCCTATTCTGGCTGGGGAATCTGGTACCTTTCAGGCGCAGTTCTTCCTGAGGTTGTACCTTTCGTCGGCCCAGACACACAGCTGCAATGTGTCCTTGTTTGCCGCATGCCCGGCAGGTAGCGGAGCGGAACTTGCAGTCGGTTCTCCTGTGGCGACCTCCACAGCCGATGCACTTGAGCGGAGCTGGAGAGCTTCCCTTCTGTTTTTCTTCCTTCGTGGGGTGGAGACGGTCGACTTCCTTGTCCGGATCCTCCTCGGAGTTTTTTGGGACGTCTTCCTGGTGCACGGATGCAACCTCTGGACTGTTTCTGATCGGCCGCATGTTCTTGACAGCGCCGCCTGCTGCTTCTTCTGCGGTGACTTCCCTTAAGGCATCTTGGTAGGACAATTCTTCTTTAGCGAAAAGTCTCTGTTGTAG